ACGTAAATTCCAATTCTGTTTGTTTGTTTTTTAAATTGTACCATCTGAAGTCCTTGGCATGCTATCTGGAGTGACTCATAACCGTGAGTGCCTGCTGTGATGTTATTGACATGAACTTTGACCGTATAGATCACTGTTGCCACCAGGGTCCTATGGTTGCACCAGTTCTTGTACAGAGGAGGCCAAGTGGGGTGTCTATGGAAAGGTTGTAGTTTGATGGTTATAATCATGCTGTCTGTACATCTATATAATTTTTGTATTTGAAGTTATGAATACTGGCTATGTACTTGTTTGATTCTAAGTAGCCTCAGTGAAGTATTTGGTCAGCTTCTTGAGAAAGGACTATTCTCAGTAAGTGCCCAATCAAGAAACACTTAACTGCCAATGGACTTTGGGAGATGCCAATCCACATCTGAGCTTTCCTGGGAATGTTCAAACTAACATGTAAACAATGGCGTCAGCCTGAAAAAAGCTGAATCATCCATAGACATGTGACTTGCCCAGGTGGCTACAGACTCCGTCTTGTTGCTGAATCTTGCACAGGAGAACAAAGGTGTTTCTGCCCACAAGAGAAAGAATATAAAAGGCCCTGGAAACCCTTCCATTTTGTCTTCAGCTGGCTCAAAAGATAGTCTCTCCACCCCAAGGAGATGCCTGAAAGAAACTGGAACCAAGGACAGTAACTACAGGCGTGTGACTGATTGCTGGACCCAGACTAGGTAGGGGTCTAGTCAGTGAAAGAAGCTTATTGGAACATCTCTGAGGGTGAGATTTACCTACATTTAATTTCCTACTGTATTAGGCTTAGACTTGCGTGTTTTGATTTATTTTACTTAGTAACTTACTTTGTTCTGTCTGTTATTACTTGGAACCACTTAAATCCTACTTTTTATACTTAATAAAATCACTTTTTGCTTATTAATTAACCCAGAGCAAGTAATTAATACCTGAGGGAACAAACAGCTGTGCATATCTCTCTATCAGTATTATAGAGGGCGGACAATTTATGAGTTTACCCTGCATAAGCATTATACAGCGTAAAACGGATTTATTTGGGGTTTGGATCCCATTGGGAGCTGGGTATCTGGGTGCTAGAGACAGGAGCACTTTCTAAGCCATTTTCAGTTAATTCTGCAGCTTCTGGGGGACGTGGTTCAGACCTGGGCCTGTGTTTGCAGCAGGCTGGCGTGTCTGGCTCAACAAGACCAGGTTCTGGAGTCCCAAGATGACAGGGAAAACGGAGGCAGAGGTAGTCTCAGCACATCAAGTGGCAGTCCCAAGGGGGTTTCTGTGACCCCACCCGTCACACCTGCCTCAGGGCAGACTGTCAAAAGCAGGGCAGACACCCCTAACTGGTGGTATGTTCTATAATTAGATTGCCCCAACCCACTAACAAATGTGAACTCCCAAAGTACCACAGCAGTCTTATAATGGAGTCACAGACAGTCCCCTTATTGAAGAGTCTGTCTTGCGACCCAGGCAAGTCGTGCTCTGTGATCAACGGTCACTTACACCAAAAATCACAAAATATTCCAGATAACACCCACTCCCAAGAGACCAGTCACTCATCCAGGTCAATTTGCATCCTAGTCTCACATCAGAGACAATGCAGGTAGCTAATTCTGTAGTAAGCTAACTAAAGGTTGATTAGCTAAGAAAAAGGAATGAGAGTTATTGAGAGGTTAAAGCAGGTACAAATCTATGTACAGGTTAGCCACAGTCTATAATTTCAAATGGTAGAAGAGATGTAGTGATCTGCCATTTTCTCAGAAGCCTTTTAGGGCTACCCAGAATAACTCTGGGGATCTCCCTCTTCTTGTTCAGTTATTCTGCCCTATTAAAATACAAACAGTCTAGAGATGAAGAACTTTTCCTTGTGTCCATACTTATAGCTCAAAACAAATCAACAGTTTGGCTATCCACATGGGCTCTTTCTTTGATGGCGGAGAGAGAGGAGTGCATCTAGCGTCTTTGATCTCTGATCACGCACAATGACCATTTGCTTTGAAATGCGTGAGAATTAGCCCTTTCCTATTCAAGTGCTTCATTTGCATTACACCTGGGTTTTTTCTCATGTGATGGGGTTTTAGTTAGAAAGGGGATATGTACAATGTAAATGTTTGCTATTCCATTATAATAGGATACACATAAGTGAAAATAATGCAAGTAGCATCCCATTAGTTTTCACCCCAAATACATTCTGGTACATTGAACAATACATTTATACAATTCTTATAGATTGACCTTATTGGCCTGGCTTCCAGCTGCATTTGTCAGTTCTCAGCTGACTCGGCCCTGGCCGGAGCTGGCCCTTGGCTTACCAGCGTCACAGTCCTAATGACTATGCCCTCGCGTAAAAGGGATCCCATCAGTCATTTGGGGCCAAATCCTAAAGTCCTTCCTCATCTGAATGTCAGTTTTGACTAGTAAGGATTGCAACAGTTGGCCTTGATAATATTAGTTTAGATTCCACTTCATTGCAGTGTCGATGTTTCTGCCGGGCAGAGACAGGGACAAGGAGAGGGGAAATTGTGCACATGGGCCCAAAGACAGAATTCGGTCCATAATAAATGAGCCCTTCATCGGCACCACAGCAGTTTTCATAGAAAACCTGACACTGTGCCACACCTAAAGGACATGGCCCGTCTAAGGTTGCAGGGAGCAACATACACTCGCTCCCTTAAGATCTGAGCACTGGAGAGCAGACAGAAGCAACATCCACGTGCAGGAACAAGGTCCGTCCACGAGCTTTTCTTTGGGGGAGGGTGAATTTGAAGCCGATGGGAAAAAACAACCGCTGGATTCACTCTGGGCTCTGTCCGACTCCCACTGGAGTCAGGATCAAGCCTCTCCTCGCCGGCAGGTTTCCCACATGACAGGGGTTCTCAAACTTCTCTTTTTGCTGGGCCCCTCTTTGAAAAGATTTCAGGCTGTGACGACCTCCCCCAAAAGGTGACAGCAAATTACTGGACAGACCCACAGGGGCATACTCATGCTATCGCCACCCTCACGGCTCTGCTGCTGGTGGCGGCACTGCCTTGAGAACTGAGCAGCCAGAGAGCAGTGGCTGCTGTACCCCCCGCCCCCGCCCCCGCCCCCGCCCCCGCCCCCAGCTCCTCTTTCCCCCACTGACATTCTTGTGATCTCACAACCCCCCGACAATAGGCTGGTGACCCCCTTTGGGGTCAGGACTCCCAGTGTGAGAAACTCTGCTCTGTTAGCTAGGAAAGATTTTTCCTATCACCGTCAGGCATGACAATTAAATAAGATGGATGAGTTGCCTAATTATCAAACTAAGGCCATGACCCTGCTAAGGCTTAAACATGTACATAACTATATGCGCTGTGATTAGTCCCAGTGGACTTTGTGGAACCACTCCCTGAGCAAATTGAAACATGTGCATGATCAGGGTGTAGCATCACACCAATGTAAGGCTAGAAGGGAACTCCAGAAGGGATCTAGTCCAGCCTGCTAGGCTGAGATGTACTTAGGTCTTCAACTAAACCGAGACCATCAATGGCAGGTGTTTGTTTAACCTGTTCTTAAAAACCTTCAATGACTGGGATCATAATAAATAATAGCATTAATTGATACCTTGCTCTTATGGAGTGATTTTCATCTCAAAGCACTTACAAAGGAGTTTAGAATCATCATCCCCATTTCACAGATAGTGAAACTGAGGCACAGAGAGGTGATGTGACAAGCACAAAGTCACCCACCAGCCTAGTGGGAGAGCCAAGACTAGAACCCAGAGCTTCAGAGGCCTAGTCAGGCCTTCTAACCAATAGGCCACAGTGTCTCTCGTAAGTATTGGGATAGCATCTGGAGAGCCCCATTGTGCTAGGTGCTCCACAACCATACGCCAGAGAAAAGGGCCCAGCCCCAAAGAGCTCACGCTCCAAGTATAGGAAGAGAGATAACAGTAGGATAACAGACGATAATAGTAACTAATAACAAATAACAGTAGCGATGTCAATGGGCGCTGTGGGTTTT